CAGGCTCCAGGCTCTGAGCTGGCAGTCAGCACAGAGCCCGACGTGGGGCTCGAACCCACGAACCGCGAGATCATGACCTAAGCGAAAGTCGGACGCTTAACTGACTAAGCCACCCAGGCGCCCTGTATTTCTTTTTTTATTTTTTTATTTTTATTTTTTATTTTTTTTAATATTTTTTATTCATTTCTAGGAGAGAGAGAGAGAGAGAGACAGCGTGAGCAGGGGAGGGTCAGAGAGAGGGAGACACAGACTCTGAAACAGGCTCCAGGCTCTGAGCTGGCAGTCAGCACAGAGCCTGACGCAGGGCTCGAACCCACGAACCGCGAGATCATGGCCTAAGTGAAAGTCGGACGCTTAACCGACTAAGCCACCCAGGCGCCCCCGTATTTCTTTTTTTAAATGTTTTTATTTTTTGAGAGAGAGACAGACAGAGATGAGCGGGGGAGGGGCAGAGAGAGAGAAGGAGACACAGAATTTGAAGCAGGCTCCAGGCTCTGAGCTGTCAGCACAGAACCTGACATGGGGCTTGAACTCGTGAACCGTGAGATCATGACCTGAGCCAACGTCAGATACTTAACCGCCTGAGCCCCCCAGGTGCCCCAAAATGATATTGGATTTCAATTATACTTCAATGAGAAACAGAATAAGAAAACATTATACATAGCTAGGTGATAATAAAGTTGGAAGTCTGATGCTGTTTTCAATAAGTTACTATATGTAAATGAACAAAACTTACTCAAGAAGAGGTAGAAACTCAAGGGAGGGTGGGGCCACCATGTGTGAGCAGAGGGTCTCTGTCAGTATTCTGGAACAAATGGATAAATGGATGGATGATCAGACAGATGGACGGACGGATGAACAAATGGAGGCATGGAGGGATAATGGATGGATGATGGATGATGGATGGATGGATGGATGATGGATGATGGATGGATGGATGGATGATGAATGGATGATGAATGGATGATGAATGGATGATGGATGGATGATGAATGGATGATGGATGGATGATGGATGGATGATGGATGGATGGATGGATGGATGGATGGATGGATAAGTAAACTGACGGGTCAGTGATTATTTTTAACCCCGATACCATTCGTGACACTGGTGTACAATAATGCACACTCCCGTTGCCTTGCAGCATAAAGAGACCCACAGTATCTACCATCACTCTGGACGTAGCCAACAAGGAAGTTTCATGTGTGGACCTCAAGCCACTGGTATGTCTCAAATTTTCACTGTCCCATATTCTTTGCTGTTAGTGTTAAGAATAATGGTGGAGGGGGGCGCCTGGGTGGCTTAGTCGGTTAAGCGTCCGACTTTCGCTTAGGTCATGATCTCGCGGTTGTGGGTTCGAGCACCGCGTCAGGCTCTGTGCTGACTGCCAGCTCAGAGCCTGGAGCCTCTTTCGGTCTGTGACTCCCTCTCTCTCTGACCCTCCCCTGCTCACGCTGTCTCTCTCTCTCCTAGAAATAAATAAAACATAAAAAAAAATTAAAAAAAAAAAAAAGAATAATGGTGGAGGGGCGCCTGGGTGGCTTAGTTGGTTGGGCGTCCGACTTTCGCTTAGGTCATGATCTCGTGGTTCGTGGGTTCGAGCCCCGCGTTGGGCTCTGTGCTGACTGCTAGCTCAGAGCCTGGAGCCTATTTCAGAGTCTGTGACTCCCTCTCTCTCTGACCCTCCCCTGCTCACGCTGTCTCTCTCTCTCTCTCCTAGAAATGGATAAAACATTAAAAAAAAAAAAAAGAAGAAGAATGGTGGTGGGTCTCCACTGGCTTTTCCCTGAGGGGCTGGCTGAGCCCATGCTCAGGATTTGAAAATGGAGGTGATCTGGTCCCAGTTGCCAAGGTCACTCTTCCCCCCACCAACAGCACCCCCAGGTCTGCCCCTCAAGACTCACCAGCCTAGGAGCAGGTGTCTCATCTCATTCCTTGTTGGTCATCCCCAGAACACCTCTAGCCAACTCTGGTGACAGCACTCCTCAATGCTCCCCAAAGAGCCAAAAACAGCACACATCCACACAGAAACGTGCACACCAATATTCACGGTGGCATTATTTGTAAGAGTCAAATGGTGGAAGCAATCCATATGTCCACTGATCGAATCAATAAATGCAGTGCAGCCCATCCACAACACTGGACTACCCGCCAGCCTTCAAAGGGAAGAACGTTCTGACACCCACCATAACGTGGTGTTATCTGTCTGTCTTGTGTTTTCTAGATTCCCTTTTACATCTCTGAGGCTGCCACCACACCCCAATTTGAGAAGCAGGTCCCTAGGGAGGTCAGGCTAACCCCCAAATTGCTCTTTCTCTCTTTTCTCCTTTCTGTTTACTGAAGCCCATTCATTCATTCATTCATTCATCCATCCATCCATCCCCCTTGCCTTCTACATGCCAAGCATTGTCCTGCATTTAAATTGTCCAACCTCTGGTCAGAGCGAAGATGTAAGCTAGTGCTGGGGGACTTAGCCGCACCACAAGGCCCTGGCAGCCTCTTAGGGCTTGAGCTCCGTGGGGCCAAGACTGGGTCACCATGTCAGGATCCGGGCACCCCATTTCCCATCTCTCCTGGGTTTGAGTGTCCCCACGCGAGTCTCTACCGCAGCAAGGCTGTCAGTGGACCTCACTGACCCCAGTCACATCCCTGCCTCTCTCCTCTGCAGACGGCACTCATCTCAGTGGGCTGTGACCAGGGGAAAAAGATCGTCATTCAAAAGTAAGTGTGTTGATATCAGGCCAGGGACTGGGGACGGAACAAGCTTAGTCACTATTGTTTCACAACCGTTGAAGTCGGGTGACATTTTCCTGTGTACTTTTGTGTATAGTTAACATTTCCATAAGAAATAGTTAAATAATGGGGCGCCTGGGCAGCTCAGTCGGTTAAGCATCCGACTTCGGCTCAGGTCGTGAAATCACGGTTTGTGGGTTCGAGCCCCGCGTCGGGCTCTGTGCTGACAGCTTGGAGCCTGGAGCCTGTTTCTGATTCTGTGTCTCCCTCTCTCTCTGCCCCTCCCCTGCTCGTGCTCTGTCTCTCTCTGTCTCTCAAAAATGAATAAATGTTAACAAAAATTTAAAAAAAAAGAAATAGTTAAATAATGAATACTGACAGGCTGAGTTTGTGTTTTTGACATAGTGGCCTCCCCTTGATATTTACACTTTGCCCTCTTTCCTAATCATGTGCTCGTTCTTCTTTTTCTTTTCTTTCTCTCTCTCTCTCTCTTTTTTTTTTTTACTGTTCTCTTTCTTTTATGAGTTCCTGAATTCCTCATCTTGATTAAAATTGCTTACGGTTTTTGCTTTTAATTGGTTGCTGAAATCTAGGGGGAGCTTTGCCTCCACTACACATAGTTACCCCCAGGAATGAAGCCATGAGGCTCCACGGCAGAAAAAAGAAAGAAACCAGAGATCGGCCAAATCGCCATACTTTCCCCCTGCAGGCAGTGGTGTGCTGGTAACTGGGTAACAACCAGCTCTGGGTGGAGGGGGAAGCCCTGAATTGTCCTACTTGCCAATTCCTGCGGTGGGATTACGCCCACCATGTGGATTTCAAGTACCAACATGAATGATCCACTGGCCCACAAAATTCTGGAAGATTTAATGCCTGGCTCTCAGGAGCTAGTCGGGGCCAGCTTTACTGCTCCATGCTCAAGGGCAGTAATAAACACAGGTGATGATTTTACCACATTTCCCCCAAATGGAAACATTCTGTTGAATCAACGAATTATATATTTATATGCAGGGACATAATGTGCAGGGAACATTTTTTTAAAACAATATACAAATAGCTTTTGCCATAAAGAGAGTGGGGAAGATATTTGCCACATGCATAACCAGCACAGGACTTGTAGCTAGAATTTATTTATTTTTTAAGATTTTATTTTGCGGGGGGGGGGGCAGAGGCACCTGGGTGGCTCAGTCGGTTAAGCATCCAACTCTTGATTTCAGCTCAAGTCATGTTCTCACGGGTGGTGAGTTCGAGCCCCTGTCAGGCTGTGCACTGGCTACGCAGAGCCTGCTTGAGATTCTCTCCCCTTCCTCTCTCTGCCCCTCTCCCACTTGTGCTCTCTCTCTAAATAAATAAACATTAAAAATATTTTATAAAAAACTAAAAATATATATGTATATATTTTAATTTTTAACGTTTATTCACTTTTGAGAGACAGAGACAGAGCACTAGCAGGGGAGGGGCAGAGAGAGAGGGAGACACAGAATCCAAAACAGAATCCACAGCCTCGCTGTAAGCACAGGGCTCGATGTGGGGCTTGAACTCCCAGACAGCGAGATCATGACCTGAGCCGAACTCCGACGCTCAACTAACTGAGCCACCCCGGCACCCCTATTTTATTTTTTTTAAGCTAGACCCACTGGGGTCTTGAACTCATGACCCCCAAGATCAAGTGTGGCACACGCTATGGAGACTTTATAAAGAATTCCTACCAATTAATAATTTTTAAAAAAAACAAACTAATGTTTTAAATGGGCAAAAGTCTTGAACAGGCACTTCCAAAAAAGAAACGAGAAAGAAATCCAATGGCTGGTAAGCATATTTAAAGGGGCTGGAAATGTGGCCAGCCTCACTTCCTAGGGAAAAGAAAATGAAAACTTTTATTAGAGACTGTCACTCTCATCCACCAGCATGGTGACATTTCCAAAGCCAGGCCAGTAGCAAGTACTGGTAAGGACGCAGAGCCCAAACGCACAGGCTTTGCAGCGGGTATGCACATTTTTCAGCTGCTTTTAGAAAGCACAGCTTTTGACCCAGCAATTCCAATCATGCACATTTACATTGGCAAGGGTTCCAGAATGTTCTCAGCAGCATTATTCCTAATAGCTCCAAGCTGAAAGCAAGCCAGCTCAAATCCATTGAGAGGAAATAAACAGGTGCAGTGGCTTGATGCAATGGACGATCAGGGCCGTGTGCCAGGGATGTGGAACAGAAGACACGAAATAACACACACAGCAGGATTCTAGTCCTTAAAAATCCAAAACCAGGCAAAAATAAACCGTATTGCATAAAGAGGCAGCCACAGATGTAACACTACAAAGAAAATCCAGGAAATGATGGTCTCAAGAGCCAGGACATGCAGCCCTAGGTCCTGGCCTCTGACATCGTTCTCCGAGCTCAGGCTCCTTGGAGATTCTGGGCCCGGCAGGGAGGACAGAAGTAAGAAAGTTCTCAAAAATCAAACCAGCGGGGGTGGGGTGGGGGGAGTATGCGGGCCCAGGGGAAGAATTCACAATCCTTTGGTGCTGCGTGGGGTTCAGAAGCTTCTCGGGGCACCTGGGTGGCTCAGTTAAGCGTCTGACTTCGGCTCAGGTCATAATCTCACAGTTTGTGGGTTCAAGCCTCGTGTCGGGCTCTGTGCTGACAGCTCAGAGCCTGGAGCCTGTTTCGGATTCTGTGTCGCCCTCTGTCTCTGACCCTCCCCTGCTCATGCTGTCTCTCTCTCTCTCAGAAATAAATAAAAAACATTTTAAAAAATTTAAAAAAAAAAAGAAGCTTCTCACCGCTTCTTCTCGCTTGCAGCGAAATCTCGGCCTGTCACAAGGGCATCCTGGATCCCGTGGGCCTTCAGGACAACTACAGCTACGTCATCGAGAAGTGAGCCTGAGGTTGCCCTTGGTGCTCCCCCACTTCCGCGATGGTCCCCCAGCCCCAAAGACAACCCAGAAATCGGTTTTAAATTGCTATCACGACAGGAGGGAATCCGGGGCGGGGAGGGGGGGCACAGGGAGGGGTCGTGCCAGGCCTGCGGGGGGCCAGTGCAATGTGACAGGGCCTGGGTCTGCCCGCCTACCGGGCCACCCTTCTGCCACCTTGCCAGCTTGCCACCAGCTTTCGGGGCCCGGGCACCTGTTCCGCTGGGCCAGCAGTTAGCCCGATGCTGTCCGCCAAGGCAGGAGGGGGTGAGGGCCAGGGGGAGCTTCTGTGCAGTGCAGCTGGTCCCTGGGGCCACCGAGCGGGCACGGGGTGGCACGGGTGGGCCTTGGTCCTTCTCGGAACCCGGGGAACAGAGAGCTTCCGACCCCCAGCATGGAAGACACGCGTGTGTTTTGTGCACCACGGCCCCTCAGATACAAGCCGGGGAGTCCATCACCTACCTGTCCACACCCGCAGCCAGGGCCCAACCTAGCCATTGAGCCTGCAGTCAGACCTTGGGGGGCACGGACGGGGCACGGCGGGGACGCGGGGCCTCCAGGTTAATGACCCGACGCACTCGGAGAGATACATGGAGCCTGAGAGAGAGGCAGAGACAGGAGGAGAGACAGGGACTTGGACAGAGAGAGAGGAGAGACAGAGATTTATTTTAAGGACTCGGTCCACCCGACTGCTCAGGCCTGGCAGCCCACAGTCTGATGGGGGCGGCTGGCGGCGCCCGGAAACAAGCTCTAGTCAGAGGAAGCTCCGCTCTCTGCCTAGGGAAGCGTATGACCCCAACTTCCAGGGACAGATGTCCCACGAAGACCTGGTGGTTTACTACCGGTACGAGAAGCTGGGCTGCCCGCACCTCGTCTACTACAACACCCCCTGGAGGCCGGTGGTGGAACTGTAAGACCGCGCAGCCCGGGCTCCCAGCCCCGCCCCTCAGATACCGCGGCCCCCTCCCCCTCCCTCCCCGGCCCCTCCCCGCCCCTCCCCCGCCCTTGCCCTGTCCCCTCCCAGCAAAGTCTCAGCTCCCGCGGCCCTAACGACGTACCGCCGACTGGGGGCTCAAACAACAGTGATTCTCTCCCAGTTCTGGAGGCCGGAAGGCCAAGGTCAGGGCGTGGACAGGGCTGGCTTCTCCCCAAGAGGCTCCCTCGTAGGCGCGCAGACGGCCACCTTCTCCGGCGCCCTCCCGCGGCGGGGGGAGGGAGGACACTGCGTCTCCTCCCCTTCCCGTGGGATCAGGGCCCACCCTGAGGACCTCGGTCAACCGTAATTACCTCGCTAGAGGCCCCGCCTCCAAACCCAGTCCCCGGGAGAGCCCGCGGGACCTGGTTGAGCCCGTAGCATTCATTTGCCCCCTCTTCCTTCATCACACCCCCCTGCACGCCCCACCACGCGTGACGGCGACCCTGTCGTGGGTAGTCGATGAGCCAGTGGGACCAGAGCCACGCTGCCTCGAGGTGAAGCTACTTCGGTGGAACCTTCTGCGATGGCGGAAGTGTTCCATACTTCGTGCCGCCCGCTGGGCAGCCGGGAGCCACGCGTGGCTGCTGGGGCCGCCACGTGCAGCCCGGGCGCCTGAGGAAGTGGCTTTTCCCTTTTACGTAATGGCAAGTGATTTAAATAAGCACGTGGAGGCCAGGAGCTCCGCTCCGTGCCCTGCAGACCATCTGACTAAATAGTAGTTGACTGAGTTAAGGACAGCAGCCCCGCTCACACCTGTAAACAGGCGGGTTCATCAGAACGTCCCGGGGCCTTAATCCCACCAGCCGGTGAGCCTGTGGGCGGTCACACAGGACGGGTCTGGGGCCCCAAACTCAGAGCTGCTCCGTGGGGGGATGCAAGCCTACATGGGGTGTAAAGATCAAGGGAGGCGTCCAGTCAGAGGAGGGGTGTGAGCTCATACCTAGCAGGACATCACAGGGCGAGTCCCAAAAAATAATCACCTAGAACAGCCCTAATTAACGGCCCTAAATATACACCTTCAGAATATTGGCAGCTGTCCCTCCAAAAATATCAGAGAACAGGTGTGTAGGGCTTTCTTTGTTGGTTTACTTGCTTATTAATTAATGCATCTATTTATTTAAAAAACTTAACATTTATTATCGAGAGAGAGAGGAGGGAGAGCGCCTGAGCAGGGGAGAGGCAGAGAGAGAGACAGGATCCAAAGTGGGTTCCCTAGTGACAGCACAGAGCCCGACGCCGGGCTCGAACCCATGAACTGCAAGATCATGACCTGAACCAAAGTCGGACACTTAAAGTGGCCGAGCCCCCCAGTTGCCTGACATCTACTTCCTTACAAGTGATAGTTCCTGGCTATGGAACATCCCGTTAGTCCTGAACCAAAGTCGGACACTTAAAGTGGCCGAGCCCCCCAGTTGCCTGACATCTACTTCCTTACAAGTGATAGTTCCTGGCTATGGAACATCCCGTTAGTCCTGAACCAAAGTCGGACACTTAAAGTGGCCGAGCCCCCCAGTTGCCTGACATCTACTTCCTTACAAGTGATAGTTCCTGGCTATGGAACATCCCGTTAGTCCTGAACCAAAGTCGGACACTTAAAGTGGCCGAGCCCCCCAGTTGCCTGACATCTACTTCCTTACAAGTGATAGTTCCTGGCTATGGAACATCCCGTTAGTTCCTTCCAAGCTCTGCTTCTCAGAGAAGCCTCTGGTGGCCACTGCGCGCCACCCCCCACCCCCACCCCCGCCTCCTGGCCCTGCCCCGACCCGCCTGCTGCTGGCGTCCATGCGCTGGCCCGCTGCCAAGTGGCAGCCTGGTGAGGCCAGGGGACCTCACTTGCCGCCCCCACCGTCCCCAGGACTGTCTGGTGACACCCTGCAGACAAGCCCTGCGCTGTGTCCTAGGTGGCGGGAAGGAAAGTTCCAGGAGGTGACGACGGCGGAGTTCGTCCTGCTGGAGGTGAACGGGCTGTTCACGTACACGTACTCCCTGACCGCCCGCACGGCGCTCTGCAGGTCCCAGCCGCAGAACTGGACCACGGTCATGGACAGCGCAGGCAACACAAAGCCCTTCCCCTGGGACCGAGAGGTAGCGTTTAGTCTTCTTCCAAAAGGGGTCCCAGCAATGCACTGTCGGTCACCTGCAGGTAGTGATGACTGGTCACACGGGGGGCGGGGGGGGGCGGTCCGGGGAGTTAGTATCATTCCACTGGGGGCTGCTATCACAGAACATTGACTGGATGGGTCTGGAGGCTGGGAGTCCAAGTTCAAGGCGGCTGTGGTTCTGTGTCTGGTGAGGGGCTCTTCCTATTTCACCGACCACTGTCCTCTCCCGGTGTGCTCACAGAGCCCTCTGGTGTCTCTCTCATAAGGTCACTCATCCATTCATGGGGGCTGCCCCCTCTGACCTGATCCCCTCCCAGAGGCCCCCCCTTCCCTGAACCACCGCCTGGGGGGCAGGTTTCAACGCAGGGACTTGGGGGCGGGGACACAGACCTTCAGTCCACAGCAAGGCGGCTGGTGGTGGGGATGCACGCTAGGACACCTGGGAAATGGGAGGTGAGCAAGTCTTCCGGGAGTCTCTCTCAAGAGAGTTGGCCAAAGGCACCAAGGCACGCTCATAATATGCAAGCTTCCAGAACCATCCCAATGCCTACCACCACTGGAAATGATTAAATTCACCGTCGTTCCCGCCGCGGGAGCGTTTCTGTCGTGCACATGGGTTTTCGCACAATGGAGAAATAGGGCATGAAGTCAGTGTAAGGAAGCGACCCCGCCGGCCCCCTCCTGAGCCCTCTGGTTTCGCATTAACCGCTCGTATCCGCTCAGCCTCCTGCTGCGAGGGCGCGACCGCAGCGCCACGACGCCGCCAGCAGGTGGCGCTCGCTCCCCACACCTGAAGCCCGTTCCAGAGCATAGTCACTGGGTCCCCCCACCTTTTTTTTTTTAACATTTATTTATTTTTGAGAGACAGAGCACGAGTAGGGGAGGGGCAGAGAAAGAGGAAGAGACAGAATCCGAAGCAGCCTCCAGGCTCCGAGCCATCAGCACAGAACCGGACCTGGGGCTCGTACTCGCGAACAGCGAGATCATGACCCGAGCCGAAGGGTTAACCGACTGAGCCCCCCAGGAGCCCCTGTGTTTTGTTTTCTAATTCTGAGAACTTCCAACCCCCCAGAGAAGCCGAGAGGGCCGTGCGTCGGACCACTGGCCATTACGGGGCTGCAGGAGAAACCTGCCCGCCCACGGCCGCCGGCATCCAGCGGGGTTCCCCCCACCCCACCCCGCGGCCTGCTGGGGCCATTCAGCTGGGGGAGGGGTGTCCAAGAAGGCCCCTCTCCCGTGTGGGGGCTCCTGTCAGCCAGCCGCCGGGCTGTCCACATGCTCTCTGTCCCCAGCAGGGTAGCCCGGGCTCCCTTACTGCAGGAACTTGGGGTTCCGAGGGTGGAAGCTTCCAGACCCCTGAAGGCCCACGCCCAGGACCCCTGCCCGTTCTGCTGGTCAGAAGCTGGTTGCAGGGCCACCCAGACCCCACCTTTTTTTTTTTTTTTAAAGTTTTATTTATTTCTAGGAGAGAGAGAGAGACAGCGTGAGCAGGGGAGGGTCAGAGAGAGGGGGAGTCACAGACTCCGAAACAGGGTCCAGGCTC